TTGTTCACCGCATTCCCAGACCTTCTTAACGAATGCATCCCTCAGGCAATCTATCTGACAGCAGTCCTCTTTTTAGATAGTGGAAATATGAAAGAATAGCTGGCACTGTCACTTCAGAGCTAATAGTTGTGGGTTTTCTTGAAAACAGATCCGACAAACCTTCCGATTTCCCAGCTCGCCACCGTTTTCGATCTCGCACATCACAGAATCTGAGAAGATCTCTTTAACTGTGAGTGATATCAAACCATCATCGATGAAAATGCGACTTCCCTGAAATGGTAAGCAAACTCAGCAGGTAGCAAAAGAAAAATAGTTTTTCCTAAATCGATGCGGGGGAAATAAATACTTCTTGCCCTTTCTACAACACAGTGATCGTTTCAAAGGCAGTTGGCACTATGAATTCCTAAGAAGAGTAAGACTGATACCGCTGGCAGGACGGAATTCCGCGACCCTGAGCAGGTGCTGCGTAGTGCCTTTTCCAAGGGAAGTGCCCTTATAAGGGCCCTATCAAGCTACAACATACCGAGAGCCCACCACGCCCGCCCGCCCACAAATGGACGACCGTACCTGATGCTCGTATTGCTTCATTTGCTAAGTAAAATATGAAGCGAAGGGATTGATATGAAGCGGCTGCGGTGCTGCATGGATATATGAGTACATACGTGCAGCCGTACTACCGTAGCTATTGGTCGTACCACCACTACTCACCGTAGCGTATTGGTAAGATGTCTTCGGAAAACTCGTCCGAAATTGCTTATCGAGTAGTTGGGAATGAAGATCGTAGATTTTTAACGTTTCACTTCGTTTTTTCGCCATTTTCCCCACTACATATATTGCGCCCTGCTAGCATTTTAGGCCAATTACCAGAATATGGTGCCAACTTCCTTTGAAGACATACTGCACTACACTCACTTCCGGCGCTGTTTGTCAACGGGGGTGGGGGCATTTTGTACTATCATTGCTTCCCTAGTTCCGGTTTAAAAATCTCACTCAGGGTTAAAACTTTGCGAACATCTTGTGAATATGACCGTAGATCGCTCTATCCACTATCAACGTGTCAAACCCCGAAGAAACGGCTTGCCTCGGATGGGATCGACACATCTTGGAGAATAAAATGCCCCGTTCGACAAACTGCGGCCGCCTCACTCCGAGCTGTCTCTAGGTTCAAGGTGAGTGAGTTCGTGCGCAACAAGTTGCTGCCAGCTCTTCGCTTCCGGACAAGAAACGGGCTGGAAGGGTATGGCATCCGTTAATCCCGCCCGTTGAAACTCCGCCCAAGACACATGCGCACACGCGTGAATAGGCAAACAGTCCCAGCTATCCTTATCTATCTATCTAACTACCTATCTATCTATCGCCAACAACTCCAGCTACCCTATCTATCTATCAGCGTACCTATTTGAGAGAGGAAACAGAAGACAGTCAACGGGTATATGCTTACTGGTCGCCCGCCCCAGTCCCCTCCACTGCACTTCTACCGCGAAGGAAAGGGCACGCTAGCGGCGAGTGTGCGACGGGGGGGATTTTGTATTTCTTTGCGTCATACTAGTTTCTCGAGTTTACAAGTCTCACACTGGCATAAACTTTCTTCGCGAAGCTGGAGCAAGCCTCGTCCCGGCCATCATGGTAGTCAACTCGAGAAGAGGCTGTCTAGATGGCGTCGACACGTCGATGGGAAGTCGTTAAAGTGCAAAAATGCCCCCCGTCGCCAAACAAGCGCCCGGCACGCTATTGGTTCAGACTGCTTTTAGAGAATTCTGCCACACCCAGTCAGGTTCATTCATAGTGAGACTCGCTCAAAAACTATAGATGATCTATTGGCCATCTAGCCGGGCGTTCTTAGAAAAAGAATGGGAACGCTATGTCAACATGGCTTTATAATGTGTGAAGTTTTTAAAGGCACTCCGTTGAAATGGAATAACTTGATAGGAGGTTGAAATTAATCAAAGACGCATGATTGTTGAGAAGGAAGTAGAAATTACCTCTTGGACAATTTTGGGCAGATTTTGGTAGTCAACATAGAGCGTTGTCGCGGTGCCGCTGTTCTTCAGACGAGGATCTGTCGATAAAATTATGGTGTCACCTTGCTTCAGCGTTACGTCTTTGCCCTGAATACCAGTTACTCTCAGTGATACTGCTCATATTACCAGACAGGGCCGTAGGTCTCGGCGTAATACTGCTGCAGTTTTTTTTTCTCGATAGAACACATCGCAGGGGTGTTGGGATGCCTCTATCGACCGCTTCGAATTCATCAAAATCGCCAGAGTTCATTTCAAGAAAACTATTGCAAAACTGCTAGTTTGGGTCAGGAGATCCAAATTGCAGCACATCATCAAAAAACGGCTTTGTGAGTGCCTTCGCAAAAAAGGCTCATGCAGTATGGGCGGTGATGAAGATAAACCATTACGCCTCCTCCCACAGGGCGGCTCACGGCTGTAGCTGCATCTCCTGACCACCACCCCAGCAGTTCGTATGCACGAATTTTTGCTAAACTGACCCCATGTAGCATGCCTGTTCGGATTTCTGGACCTTTTGTATCAAGAGCGATGGCAACTGGATGAGGGTGATCCTGTGCAGCTTCACGTATCATTGCTATCGTCTTAGCGTGTTCCTTTAAAATACTGATAAATGGGAAATTTGAAAACGACAACACGTATATTGAAGCACAATGTTGTAAAACTAATAAGTTACAGCTTATTTTAATGTTTATAGGAAAAGTACCTCATGAGATCCATGACTAAAGTTTAAGTCTTGCAATATTCATGCCGTGCTCGATCATTTCATGAAGCATCTCAACGCTGTGACAAGCTGGTCCTGAAAATAAGTGAAGCGCTGAAAAATTGGACAATATCCAAGCACGTCATCTGATTCCCTCTAAGATTTTGCCCATTTTGATGGAAAAAAAAACATCTATCTCGAAACTATTTCGACTCCAGCTTGTCAGTACCAATGTTGTCGCTGCCGTCGCTGGCGGCGTGTCAGGAGAGCTGGTTTTGCCACGGCGGCCTGCCTGTTTCCCCCAATTGCGGAAGGTGGCGGGGCGACCGCAATTGGTGGAAATTGGCTGGCCGCTGCTCCGAACCTCTGTGTCCTAATATGCCCCCCTTGCGCGAAGAGAATTAAGATTGTCCCAAACATTTTAGGTGTACCGCACCTATAGTACAGATGATGGCAGTTTTCCGGTGCCTGCTTGGCGTGTCGAAGATATTCAGCTGGCATAGGTGTTCCAGATGGGTAGCAGAATGTCCAGAGTCGTTCCTAAAATTGAATAGATGGCTCTCAATTCGGCCTCCCCTAATCTTTTCTTAAAGTGTGTATAGCCCAGTGAAGCAGCAAATATCCCTCTAACAGAATGACTCTTTACTTGATCAATTACTAGATGTCATTACGGCGGAAACTACGTATCGGCAAGTGCTGCCGCCGAAGCTTCCCCCATAAAATTGGATAACGACTCTTTCTGCTGACAGCTTGCTCTCTCTAGCCCTTAATGTTGTGTCATTAGGATTTTGTGATGAACTGCGAGAAACCCGTTGGGTGGTGGGAAAAAAGCTTTCCAACAATAGAAAAAAAAAAGCGCATAATAAGGTCCACATATTCGCGGCACTGCTCGCCTTGAGAGAGGCATTCTACACTCGTACTTCGCTTTTAAACAAATTTCTGCTGTTGAAAAGTTTCGCTGTGTGACACGCAAAGACTCTCGAAGGTACGTGGGGGGGGCAAAAAAAGAACTTTTCTCTTCGACACTTCCGAGGCGCTATTAAGGTTACAAATCTAGGAAATTCTTAGTCGGACATTTGCTAGCTACTCGATAATTGAAGAGCCATATTAATACTAAATTGGCGAATAGTCGCCACAACCTTCTGGAGGAAGCCGTTCTGCCACGACCGTGTGGGTGCCTGAGTTCAGCGAGATCGTTGATTTCTCCGTCACTGTAGACCATTCTACTGAACTCCGCTCGAATCAGGTAATTGAGGGGGTTTTAGTTGCAGGTGACCCTGCTCAGATATTCCACCTTCTTACAGGTACTGCACTCATCCAGTAGGGCAACGAGTTTTCGCCCGCTTTGAGTTGCCATGCCCGATGTCACCCCAATCCTGTGCACGACAAAGTCCAAGAGGTACGGTCGACCGACATGTGGAGAGGTATTCTCTTTAGGCCGAGTGTAAGCGCTCCGCGCTCAACCTGTCAGTACGGGGTCCACGAAGATCCAATATCGGTCTTTCCATTCCAGTACGTCCAGGTCCGTGTACCACACTGAAGTCGAGACCGCGCCTTGACGACTGCGGTGAAGATGATGTCCCATAGACTGGCGCCGCTTCGTGCGGAGTTGCTCGATGCTTGGAGGTCTTCCAGATCCGAGAGTAAGTGCTCTCCGCGGTAGCTATCCATATGTGACTCCATACTAGAAGTTTCGCAGCTGTTTGGAAGTGACATGAATTCCAAAGGTCTTCTCCAGTCAGGCTGCGACTGGAGATGACTTCATATTTTGGTGTACAATGAAGGGTAGATGCGGCGCAAACGCCCAGCCTTCTGCTGCTTAGAGGAACATCTTGGTATCGTCCGGCCTGGTCACTTCGTATCCTCACAGTCCCTTGTGTGGGCTCTGAAAACTTTGCTGATACGCGACTCGGTCGAAATGTCTTTTTTTGCGCCCCCCCCCCTCTGTAAATGAAACTCATATTATTGCATTGTTTTGCAGGAATTGTGCAGGTCTCCACAGGTCGGCAGTGAGCGATGGGAACAGCAGAATGCCCCCAGTAAGCCAAACTGCGCCCATTTTGCATGGACCGAGGCAGTTGCTGGTCCACTTTCGTCATGAACCTCTTCACCAGAATCCGAAAAGAACAGGGAGCTGATGGATACTTGATGGTTACTTTGGTTAAGTAGTTCCTGTTTTCATTCTGAAATTTCGAAGTTTCAACGACATCTGGCAGTAATTAATAGAATGGCTGGAAGCGTAACTGGGTGATGTTTAGTTTGTAAACTAGTTTTGAGTAGGTGGATGCACTCTTATTTTCGGAACGCCCAGCGTTTACATCATATTTGAATCAAAGAACATTTCAACGAAATTTTTGACGTTTCAGAGTTCGAGCTGAACAAATCCCACATGGTTCCATTGATTAAAACATGAGAGGATCATATTTCACTCCCTTAGTCATCTAGTGGGGGCTTCAGAGGCCTCCTTTGGCGAAACCACATCTCATAAGGTGGATAGAATCATGCTGCATTTACTCTGGGACGTGTCCGGAACTTGAAGCGAAACACTGAGTTCGAAATTGGTGCCCCCCCCCTTCTTTACTCCCTTATCAATTCTTATCACTGGTTATCACCCACCCGTAGATGAGGTTTCCATCCCGCCTCGCATATCACTTCTTGTAAACAAAGTCTTACTGCAGTCCGTTTTTAACTCACGATTCTTCTGATCAAATTCAACACACGCTTTACGTTGTACAGTAATTATGCAGATTACACTATGTCGCAAACCACGCCCCCCCCCCCGCAGCCACACCCCTTTTTCAAAGCATTCATGTTTTGCACTTTATAACTTCCTTCTGCTATTGAAACATAGCAAAAACAGGCGCAGTTCGGCTTGGTGGGGGCATGTAGGTGGTTCCCACTAATCACTGTCGACGCCTCGTGTGGAGACCTGTAGATTCCTGTGAAGCGCTGCAGTAGCAGGAACTTCAATTGCACTTGTTAAGAGGCTACAAGGCTAGGTCTCACCAAGGTAAAGCATGTAAGTTAACAGGAAGCAACAATGGAAACTAGCGAAGTGCAATCCCCCTCCCAAGCCGAACAGTCCCAAATATGTAACACTAAAGGGCTATTGCACAGTTCTCACCGCTATGCAAGGACATTAGAGTAATAAATAGTAGGAGGAGATCAGTCAAAAAAAACTCACTGCTTCATATCATGGTAGGGAGACAGCGGATGTGCCATCGCTTCTGAAAACAGGCATTAGATCATTCAACAGAGCACGAGCTTCAAAACCTTTCAATGGTTACAGCAGAGAACAGATTTCCGTAAGAAAAATCGATGCGAGTAGGAGAGGGCGAAAACCGTAGGGGGAGCTCATTAAAACTGAGTGATTAGAATGCTTAAAAGAGGACTGTCATGAGTTTGAGAGGCAATTCCGATCATCGCACCGGCTGAGCGAATCATCGAGAGGCTCACTTCTGATGAAAGTTAAACAGCATTACCCAAAAAAGATCTAAAATTTTGCCTGCGGAGGGGATGTATGTCATACTTATAGGAATTTGGTCTAATGCCAGATTAATATTGCATCATTCTTTGCTTAGACAGCGAGAGTTGTTAGACGAAACGTTGGTGAAGACTTGGTCCTTTGACCGCTGGTCGTCATTTGACAACCTAAATTGGCTTAAATTTTTGAGAGATGCCCTTCCTGATTCCCTAAGCGCATCGTCTTCCGAGTACTTCCGGAATATCAGGAAAATAACAGAGGATGCCAGATGGCGAGAAAGGACTCTCCCATTTTTCCACATAAGGAGCGGCTCCATACTACCACTAGGTGTTCTTCTACAAGCTAAATTTGAAGGCGGGGCGCAGTTCGGCGACAGGGGGACATTTTGCACTTTCGCTGCTTCACTAGTTCCGGTTTACAAGTCTCACTCTGGTGAAACCTGTGAACTCTTGTGAAGCTGGAGCAAGCTCGTCGAGCCACCATGGTAAAACCTGTCAACTCAAGAAAAGGCTCTCTAGATGGGTCGACACGTCGATGGGAAGTAGCAAAAGTGCAAAATGCCCCGTCGCCAGAACTGCTCCTGAGGGCGCTTCAGGGCTACGAGCAAACTCGAAGAATAAAACCTCCATAATTTCGTTCAGGGTTGGCAGATTTCAAAAACAGATGCTTAATCGGGGTCATAAAACACATCTGATAGCTTAGATCCATGACATATTGTCACTTCGACCTGGGATCTTTCTTTAGTAAGCCTAGGAAGAAGGAGCTCAGGAGCAGATGACCCAGTTTCACGGTCCGTCTCTTTTTTAAAAATTGGCTTAGGCTTCTGGATGACGCGAGTTATCGTGAAGTCTGAACGCTGTCTTCAGCATAGTCGCCGAAAACGCCTGTAGGTGAATTACGAAGACGTCATCCCAAAGTATAAACACAGCCTTATCGTTGGAAGGTTCGACAGAGGCAAGGTGTACTTGGAGACCCAACGAATTTTCTCAGTTCAACAGTGCCGTCAAATACGACCCTCTCCATTGAGGATTCCCA